CTTTCCCTCCTTTGAGAATCTGCTATACAGTTCTTGCTCTTTTTGGCGTTGCATAAGTGAACTTGGGCAGTGAATGATCATATAGTGTCTCCGTTTGTCACAACTCCAAGGTGAAAGCCAAGGTATTAGCAGCACCCTTCTCTTTAGGCACCCAGATCTCTACTTAAAATTGCTGGCTTCATGGTCCCAGAAATATAAATCCTCAATCCATGGTATTTACAGTAGCTGGATGTGATGTTTTCCTGCTGGACTTTAGTGGTCATCTGCCACCCTGAAGGAAAAGGTTTGGTTAGTGCAGATCACTTAATCTTTGGCCTCTTGGAGTGTGCCTCATGATCATCAATCAGGAGGGACCAAGTGCCTGGACTGCTGCTGTGCTCCTGTCTCAGTTACCGAGCAGACCGTGGAGATGAGCTTTGCTGCCAACCCGAGGTGAACTCCTGGCATGAGGTGTTAGGAAACGGCAAGGGTAGAACTGACCTGCAAGTCACAGATCATTCTCACTCGTCTCCCAGGCTCTCTGCGTTGCCCTTCGTGCTTTGTTTTGCGCCGATCGCGGGGTAGAGCCTTGAACTTGGGGAGAGCTCCCGCTCTCGAGGGAGCTTCGCTAACAGAACTGCTCGGTTCTGCCTTGCTGGGACTGGTGGCTCTGTTGCGCCAGCCCTGGCGCTGCTGGCCCTTGGGCTCCCTCCTGTGCAAGCAGCAGCTCGTCCTGGCTGCAGCCACATCTTTCCCGTGTGGCAGTTCCCCCAGCTCAGGCTAGATTTGGGGCAAAGCGCCGTGAGGTCGAAGCCAGTGCCCGGCTCCCTGCCCAGTGCTGCCCTTAGTCCTGCTGCTCTGGGCAAGGAGGAGGTGTCTTAAGCAGGAAAACCCCAGGGCAGAGCCCCCCGTGCTGCTCCCCAGCCTTGCCTCCTCCGCAGGGCTCCGGGCAGCCTCATGCAGCCCTCAGGCCCACATCTCAATTTAAGCAGCTGTTTCACCTACTTACAGAGATGATCCCATCAGCCCTATCACCAAAAATCGGGAATAAGCTTCATAACACCGGTGTAGTAATAAGAAGCATCACCTCAGTGCAGTGGTGGAGGCATGGAGGATATAGCCCCATGTCTTGTGAATGCCCTAAGGTGCCTTTACCTTTTATTTCTCTATTATCTACGCACACATTAAATTCTTGGAATGATCATACATGTTCATCTGATTTCCTAGAACTAATTACAATTCTGCCTGCTCCCCCTGCCCCCCCTTGTCCCTTGGGTGGCCTCGGAGGGTCATCTCTCCATGTCCAGTGGCTGCACTCGG